GTGTCCGACCCATCGCGACCCCATGGACAACGTTCCTCCAGGTCTTCCTGTCCTTATCTTATTAGATTAATCTTATTAGATTAATGTTCTAAGATGAAATATTAAGGAGATTAATAAGCATGTAAGCTTTGCACTGAAATTTGTCAACACACTGTAATTTGAGAAAAAAACAAGAATCTAGTGATACTGAAGGAATATAAAGATATCTGTAATGTAAACTTTCCTTTGAAATTTGTCTTTGAGTTGGAAAAAAAAAATAGTCCACAAAGTTGACTGAACATGCAGCAGGCCAGGGGTTCTGCAGGAGGATCAAAAATTTCAAGATGGGAACCACATCCATGCTATTGAAACTCATGGGTTAAGACCACAAGGTTGATCATATCTTGACCTTGCTTGTTTTCCATCCCCAGGCATGATGGCCAGTCACTGCCCCCTCTTGAGGCTTATTAAGTACAGCATATATTTTAAGGATTTACTGGAAACCTTCTTCCTTCTATGATTAATATTCCAAAGTTTCAAAAAGTGTTTCTTCTTTAATTAAGAATGTTATACATGAGTATTCAGCAAAGAAATAGCTAGGAAGGCTAATTCTTTGTAAGTAACTCTTTCACATTCAAAAACAGTTTTAAACAGATTAATCCTATAGGTACAATTTAATCTTTCTAGAGGTGAGAACAGTTACTTCTTTAGCAGCTATTTTTATCCTGTATACAATTTGTAGTAAGTTACAGTAATTGAAACATGTAAACTTTTATGAATACTTTTAAATAAACCCTATTCTCCATTTCCTCTTACCAGCTCTCAGCTTCTTTTTTATACTTAATTTGATTGGGTGAACTGACATTGTCAATCTGCAATCCAATAACATATTTGATGGCTATTCAGAAGAGAGTCTAGTTAATTTTTGGGAGTGCTTTATGTAAATAAATATTCTTGCGGAGTGCTGAGCCAAGACATTTGCTGATTGATCAGAGTTTTGCCCTTGTCTTCTGCAAGAATAAACCTTAACATGTCAGGAGATACTTTAATGCTTTTATATAGCAAGAACATACCCACACTTTTTTTGGTCAGCCAATAAGTGAAAATTCTGAATCTAATCATACTATACAATCTTTGTGATATGCAGTAGGGCCAAATATCCATCAAGACTTGATTTTTCTTATCAAGTAAGATATTTTTTTTTTCTTGTAGTAAATTGTTGTTTTTTCACCACTGCTTAAACAGGCTATTTTTTTTATTTTTATTTTTGCATTTCCAGGTGTTAATCCCCTGTCTTACAAAAAAGAAATATGTTAAATAGAATCCATTTTGCTGGTAATGAATGAGATTATATCAAGATTCTAATTGGGAGGATCTGATTAGATTTTAATTAGCTTGTTTTAGGGTGAATGCAGGGCATAAAGAGAATAGTTGCCATAAATAATCTCCGTGACCTATTCCAGCTGCTGTATTGTATAGTTATAACGGTAAAACTATTACTATTTATGGTAATCAAGTAATGGAAGAAAATATTGCAGATTTTGATACTTTTACTTTACATGGAGTAAAGGGAAGTAATTTTGCTTTTCTGATAATAATGAGTTATTATATATGTTTGTGTGTGTGTATATACATACATACATATACATATACATATACGGGGGAGATTCCATTTCATGCTTTCATAATCTTACTGCTGTGCTTTGGAGAAATTGTAATATTTCTGATGTAAGAACAGTTTAATTTTCTTTTTCCCAAATGTACTTTATGCAATGGACTCAGAAATGAACTCATGTCAATGGAAGGGACATTTTAGTAGATTGCTTCACATTATACAAAGCAGTTGCCATGGAAGAGCTAATACCATCTGTGAATTTTGTGATGTAATTATTTGTCATGATAAAGTTACAGACAAGCCAAAAAAGTCCACAGTCCACAGAAAATGTTTGTGTGTGGGGGAGGAGGAAGAGGAGTACTCTGCAATGGGAATAGCTTATAAATATTCAAGAACATTGATATTTTAACATTATTATGCTGCAGTATGGTACTACTAATATTGAAAATTGAAGGTTTTATTTTAGACTTATTTAATTAGGAATGCAGTAGGTCACTTGCTGCTTTTTTGTAAAGTCAGCAACATTTCCTAAATTTTCAAAAATTAACAGTTTTCTGTTCAACTTGTACTATATTCCAGATGAAAAAAAATAAAATAAAATAAACTCCACAACTCCCATATTATACTAATCACAGTGAGCTAACCCAGCTGATATTCATTAAGTGAAAACTGTATGTTGATAGAAGACAAGGAAATTTATATTTAAAGTGTCAGAAATTGGTCTTTTTTAAAGTCTGTATTTAAATGTTTATATGTTTAGCATATCCACAACTGACTCCAGCAAGATTGAGAATTCTATTGTTCAAAAGTCCTAGGTCAGAAAAGTTAATCATAATGATTAAGTCAATCAGTGTTAGAATGGCTGGATTCTGTATCTTTAATAGAACTGTTGTTCAAGCCTAAAACAGCATCCCAAATTTTCCCATTCACTAAATATTCCCTCCAAGATTTCCATCTTGGTAAAGAGATGTTTTGACAGTAATATCTTTATCTTAACTTTTTTCACCACCATGCAGTTCCCTAATGGACCCAAGAAAACACACCTTCCCTTGTTTTATAAAATCACTCCATAATGTGTTTTGTAGTTATTTCAAACATCATGCAAAAATCAATGTCCTTTTTAATCATTTGTTTGTACTGAATTAATTGTCAGGTATAAACACACTGCTAAAATACCGTCATTAAAGCTTCCAGGTTATCAGAGTATGAGAAATATTTATGAAATACATATTGGAAATTTGGAGTGGCTTCGCTGTTAACCTGACAAGAGTATTTCAACAGAAGATAAAGAAAATACAAATTAAAAGCAGAAGTATTAATTTATTATTAAAAAGATTATTTTCTTGCAAATAGGAAGATGGAAGACAGCCATAAGAGAGACAATAATAATTATTAAGTGTTTTAATATGCTAGAATCTCTCAAACATTATTTTAAATCATGTCTTTCTACTCAACTTGAAGCAATAAGGAACTTATTTAAATAATCATTATAATTTTAATTTTTTTGGAACGGATATTTTCCTGTTTCAAGTCCAGCTGTTTCTCTTTTGCTGCTTACTTTGATTGTTATTAGCCTTTAATGTTCCAGACATTATTTTTGTAATACTTAACTTTTTGCTTCTTTTTGAGTTACTTTCAGTAGATTATGATACTTATCATATTCACTGATATCAAAGGCCTATCATGTAGCATTTAATATACTAGTGTCATTAGTGATAAATATGAATAGAAAGTTGAAATATCTTCCCTGTGAATATTTCGTAACTAGGGGAAGTCCTGAAGTACTTACATAAGTTTGGAAACATCATTTTGAAAACAATAAAGCATTGTTATGTGTACCATTTGTGTGCCTGTCTCTCTGTCTGAGAAAACAATTACAGCTACCAAAAGGATTGGCGTAGACTAGATGACTAGTATAAATTGAATTAGTTTGACAAGGACATTTGGGGTGGGAGCTGAATGGACCATCAGCCTGATGGAAAACAGAAGAAAGCTCTTGGTGACCCAGATGACCTCTCATGTCAGTGTGGGTTTTCTGTGTGGTGCTCTCATTCAGAGGCAAAATGCTTATTATTCAATAAAATCAATTTGATTGAGGTTCATGGCACAATAGAGAATTCACTTTCAAAGGGGTAGAAATTCCACAGAGTGCATTCTAATGAATGCTACTTATCTGGAATGTCTGAACATTGTATACATCTCTAAAAAGCATATAAAATTTGGATAGTATCTACTGTCCTTGATTTCCATGCAATATCCCACAATTTTATAAAATTGAGCATTTCCAATGCTTGTTAATAATAGTAATGCAATTTTCTTCATTTTGTCATATATTTGAATACTTATTTTGTGCTTTTCTAAGCTATTTCTTGTGACTATGGTATTTCACAAAGGTAGAGAAAATATTATGAAACATATGAAAGAACATATGATGATGATGATGATGATGATGATGATGATGATGATGATGATAATAATAATAATACTTAATCATTTTAGGACTTACTGACATTATTCTTCTTCTGTTCCTGGGCACAAAATATTTGTGAACATATTGATTGTGCTTTAGCCAATGTTAATTGCATTGGTGGTGGGGAATATTTTGTTAGGTTCACATGCTGATTACAAAGTTCACAATTGCCAAACCAGAATATAACTTTCCATTATATTTTTATTCTGTATTGTTCACCAAATGAAGGATTTGTAAAAAAAAAGTAGCCACAAAAATAACTTCATGAATATCTCTTCCTATAGATATAAGACCAAATAAATCAAGCAAAATAAGAGGGAAAATATGATGCTTACTTATTTCTTTGACATCTGACAAAGATGGAATAGGGAATGGGAATTTTTATGAAATCGCTCGCTTTAATAAATCTGCAGTGTGCACTTATAGCAAGTGTTATCTACATCTACCTGAAATGGTTTTGAACTAATATGTAGAGATTGCACCATAGTCTATATACTAATAGTATTACTTCTTATTTTATCCTTTCTACTATATTTTAGTTGCTTATTTCCTCTCTTATTTTCAGTTTCCAGTGTTTATTCCCACATTTAAGATAATAAAGATATGAACTGTTAAAATACAGACTTAAAAAGTACATTTAAACCATTTCAGGGCAATTTGGTGCAATATTTATTTTGAAATGCATACACGTAATAGTAGTTGGTGCACACTAGCAGCTACTGTGTTAACAGTCCAAGTATTTTCTTGTGTGATTTATGAAAATATAAAATTCTGCATAGATACCATTTCAGTGCATCTTAAAAGTATGTTAATATTTTCATTATGCTTCCTCTTCATGTCACACGAATTTGCAGTTATGAACACACTTTATGCCAATTTTTTTAAATTCAGTCACTTTCAATGAGTTCACAATATTTGTTTGTTTGTTATTTTTAGGGACTTAAGTGAAAACCAAATTCAAGGCATCCCTAGGAAGGCTTTTCGAGGAATTACTGACGTAAAGAATTTGTAAGTATTGTCTATAAATAGAATTTGAGCTGAAGCTAATTCCTTTTCATATGTTATTTTATGTATTTTATGTATTTCAGGACAAGATATGCATCTTTGTGTTATACAGAAGTGGTTTTCTTGCTTAGAAATAGGTGGTCACCTTTGACCTCCATTCAAATTTTGATTAAATATATGTATAGCCTTTCCATATATTATTTTTCCCTATTGCAATCTTCAACGTCTGTTGAAGAGAACTTGGAACAAATTGATAACTTACTTTTGTACTATATAAATAGTCCTTGATTAACAACAATAGCTGGGATCAAATTTTTCATTTGCTACCAATGTAGTTGTAAAGAGCAACATCACATGGCTTCATCATTTAGCAATGGCAATTGTAGTATTTGCCATTGTTACGGAATGATTGTAGGTAATTAAGCAAATTCTAGGTGGCTTGTAAATAGGTCAGCTGGCAGGCAGGTAAGTGGCTGGTACCAGGTGGGGAAAGATGCCTGGCCTGGGTGTACCACAAAGTGCAGCATGTGTGCAGTGGGGGGGGGGGAGGTGCTGCTGCTGGGTAAGGGAGGCTGTGAGTGATTTAGCAGAGTAACTTGCAACCTTCCCTACCCACTTCCCCAGTGACTTTGCTTGTGGGAAGCAGGCAAGGAAGGTTGCAGATGGCAATCTCATGACCATTATGCAACCATCATAATGTAAGCCAGTTGCCAAGTGATTGTGGGGAGGGTGGGATGCTTAGAATTTCAAGAACTGATTGTAAGTACCTCTCAGTGCTGTCATAACTGAAGAAGTGGTCAATAAACAACAAATTATTAATAACTATAGCAAATGCATAATACAGTGGTTACATCTTCAAGGATTTTCAATCCAAGCAACAAGTAAGTCTGTCTCTTTCTGTGACTTAAGAAAGATGCAGTGGCATTACCTACTGTGATATGTTAAAAAAATCTAGGTCCCCTACAATGGAGACTGTGGAAGCTTCATGGATTACACATTCATCACAATTGGATATTATATTGTTCAACTAATGTTTTGTTCTGTTAATATTAATTTGCATATAGTTCTTTCCTCTATAAAGCTGTTCAGATATATTATATTAGTATTTTTCGAAAATCTTATCTAGTACACCATTATTCTTTATTTTAAATGTAGACAAACTTTCCTGACTGTATCCCTGAGTCATTGACTGAAATTAAAACTGGAGAATTGAACCTCATGCTCTTAATTTTAAAACTACCACACCTTAAGGGAGCCATGCATTTAATTATTTTTCTCTACTCATTTTCTGAAGTTGTATTTTTTTATGTGACTAGCTACCATTATATATGTGAATGTGCTAATATCTATTGACTTGAATTAATTAATTTTGTTTCACAAGATGTCCAGCTTTAAATTAGCTGTACGATATAATTAACATTTACAGTTAGGTAAAGAAGAAAACAAAGATAATTGATTCAGTCCTCACGAGAGGAAGCAAACTGTAGGAAATACTTTGAAAAAATAGTATTTTGAGAAAGCATTTTTTTGTTGTAACTCTAAAATAGTTGATAGGGGATAATTGAAGAAGGGCAATAAATATTCTTCCTTACATTTTTTACATACCTCATGTATGTATATCAATCTTTCCAGCTTCATCTTTTCCTGGGTGGATGTGGCCACCCTCTGCAGCTGATGTGGAACCCCAGAAAAAGCATTTGGTCTCTAGTGTTCCTGACAGGTGCTATATATGTGCTCATTCACACTCAAAATAACATTTGACCTTTCAAATTCGGATCATTGCACAATCCTACTGAATAGATTCAGTTCTACTTCAAAAGTGAGATAGGAAGAATTCACCTGGGGAAAAGAGAATCAATCAACAATTTGTTTCTCTTAGAAATACCTGTTCTATGTATTTTTGGAAGGTTGGATATTGAAAAAGGTTGTTCTTTCCAGAAGAAAAAAAAATGTTATGTGTTCACTAAAGTACCATTTTACCGAGTGAGCTGGATAGATTTCCATCAAGGCCTTTTACTCTAGTAGTACTCTATGTAGTGCTCCCCAAACTCCTTTAGTTAATCTTTAAATAGCTATTTAAAATTATTTTTCTTATGTTTGATTAGGGAAAACTAAGTCTCATTTAAAAAAAAAATCAGCCAGTATTCATGAGCAAGCAAAAAGGTTTAAAAGAATTCTGAGGGGAAAAAAATAGTAGAGCTTTAATCAAAAACTTCATCAATTGTAGTGGTAGATAAAATTTACTTCCAGAAATTGTACTGAAGACATTGAAAAAGCTTCAGATGAATAGTCTAGTTTCATATTGTTTTTTCAAATGTGGGTTTCTATATTATGAATACATCTATGTGTATATTATATCTATATATGTTCATATATAAATAAAGGCATATATGTGTAACAAGGAACACAAATATATGCATTAACTACCAGTGGCCTATATCTGTGCTCCTTGGTAACAGCATGGGTCTGATACAATTCAACTAGCTAGGTAATCCTAGTTTTTTCATCAGCACCATGGGTAGCCATATTGCAGGAGATTCAGGGTGGAACTAAAAGCAGTGGTGGGATTCAGCCAGTTCGCACCAGTTCAACAGAACCGGTAGCTAATTTTTTGTTGCCCAGGCCCAGAATGGTCTTCCGGAAGCGGCATCCACACAGAGAACCGGTTGCTCACATTTTTGAATCCCACTACTGACTAAAAGTATTATTGAAGACCCAGTGAGACTTCACTGCAATGAACTATGCTATGGTTGTTGATTCATTAAAATATCTCCAGACTTTCCATGGGAATGAGATCTTTTGCAAAATCTTACTCTTCTTTCTCAGGAGATCAGCTAGATTTCCATAGCATTTGTGAGCTCTATCAGAATAGTATATACAATCTGCCTTCTCTCAAATTCTCAGAAAAGAGAGCCATGGGTGTTACCTTATATCCTGCTACCGCATGTGGAATTGAACATGACTTCCATCCATCCCAAGATTAATAAGAAGGCTGACTAAGTATTCTACATCACCTGAGATAACAGGGATAATAAAGTTTTATTTTAGGAGTTAAATGAGTTGCTATAATTTCATCTCTGGAACTATAGGTTCCAGTTCTGAGATATTGTGGGGATTTTTACATTTATGATTTTTATGTAATTTGGAGTCAGTACTATCATATTATGTACAGTAGATGGTCCTTTGACTCTCATTGACTTCTTTGAAAATGTAGTAGCTAAATTTTGTGAATATACTATTAAAATTATGTTGTCAAGTTCAGGCTGTTGAGAGAAGCTCAGCTGTTGTTGTCTGCTGCACACAACATTCTGTGCTGCTATCATGTCCCCATTTCTATTGTTGCCAAACGTCATTCCCTCTGCCCATGCCATCTTAGCTCCATGTCAAGGAAATTCAGTCTGTGCTTGGGATGAATGGAGAAAATTGTACAGTAATACATTATCTTGGTTCCAAGAACTAAATAGGAAAATTCTGCTTTCCAATGAATGAACTGGTTCAGATCCAGCTGCTGTTGCGTTACTTACTACAAAAGTATTACAGCTTCATGATGAAGATACAGATTAACTTAAACTCAACCTATTATCTGTCTCCTTTACCTATTTTCTAACTTAGATTGTCTTCAGATTTGTGGCCTTTGGCCTGTCTGCAGCTGAGCTCTAACAGCAAAAAATACAGGAGAGAAATAATTGACACTGATGGATTGAACCCTACACATTTGTACGCTTTATGTTGGAGGCAATTTCCCAAGTGATTTTGTAATTAAGAAAACAATGTTGCACTTCCGTTGGCCTAATTAGGGTAACTGTATGGAATACAGCTTGGGTTACCCCAGAGAGGAATGAACTGGAATATGTATTTTAATTTATGAATTAAATTTCTAGGAGGAAGTAAAGTTTTTCATTTAGATTTATACTTGAACACCTGGTGCTGGTAGTGGCCAGAATTCTAGCCTTTGCATTTTAGCCACTGTATTGCAATTAAAGTTATTCAATTCAATAATGAGTGTAATCTATAAAAGACCACTTAAAAGATTGCATTGGAATGTTCAGCAGAGAAAATATTTTCATTCTCTTTCTGGCTGTAGGATTTGCCAGTCAGACGGGATCACTTAAAAGCCCCACTTGCCCTCTCTGAATAATTAATTTACCCTACTGGAGGTTCGACCTCAGGTTTTTCTGCATTATTTCATCCTAGCAGCATCAAGTAGAAGTTAAACAAAATAGTATGAGATATTTCTTGGTTCATAAATAATTTGTGCCTGATTTAAACTCTTAAACTCTATCTTCGTTATATTTAAACTTTATAACTCCTACTTAGATATTGTCCAGTATTATTAATTGATTGATTAGATTATTATTCCACAGTTATTATTTCATAGATAACTCAAGGCAGCGACCCCTGTCTCCTCCTATTTTCTCCACAACAACAATCCTGTGAGGTGGATTGGGCTGAGAGAGAACGACTAGCCCAAAGTCACCCGGCCAGTTTTCATGCCTAAATTGGAACTAGAACTCACAGTCTCCTGATTTCTAGGACAGCACTTTAATCACTATACCAAAACTGTCCTTCTATTCAAAACATTCAATAATATAATTATTTTTTGTTATTTTATACTTATTGTAAAATATTTTCTAATACTGTTCTTCTATACAGCAAAACGATCAAGAGGAATATGAGTTGGTATACAGATATACACATTTAAATGTTCGGTATAAATTGGATTGTAATGTGAAGCCATGTTTATAATATCCACTTCTTCTAACTTGTGACCTGTTCTGCTGCTGCATCTTTCAGCTTTCTCTAACCCAGCGGTTCTCAACGGTTGTGTGACGGCGACCCCCGTCACACAAACGTTATGCGCATGCGTGGCGCGCATGCGCGGGGCTGCCCCCATGCGCGGCATGCATGCGCGGCACCGCCCCCGTGCGCGGCACGCATGCACAGCACCGCCCCGTGCGTGGCACGCATGCGCGGCGCCGCCCCTGGAGGTGCGCTGCCGTTCC